ACAATGGTTGGTGCAGTGTGCCGAGTCATATTTTCAGTATGATCGTCGGGCACTTTTGGAGCTCTGTACATTTGCTGGAATGCCTGCAGACTTTTTGTACAGCGGTCAGCACTCTCCTCCACCGGTCCTGTCTGAGATTCCTGCGTTCCTTCTGCGTGACCCTGGCCTTTCTCCATGGAGGAAACGTCGCAGACGTCGTGGGAAGCGTGCAGGGATTTTGGTGAAACTGAGGCAAAGAGTGGATTATTCTATCAGGACTCGCTCTGGATCTGATCATCTCCTCTCTGACCCGTGGTGCTCCTGGGGCCCGGCTGCTGGCCAGCTGCCCGCACGCTCAGTCCATGGAAACACCTGGAGTTGTTTACCTGTGCGCCGCACCAGCAGACCAGGAGGAGCTGTTCTTCATAACCAGCGCCCACTGGCGCGCGCGTCTCCATCCACGGCTGTGCCTGTGTCGGACCCTATCAGGATGTGTTTAATCAACGCAAAGTCTGTTTCCAACAAGACGTTTATCCTCAATGACTTTTTTTAAAGATGAGGAGTTGGACTTTCTGTTCGTCACAGAATCCTGGATTTCTGATGGCGAGTCTAGCGCCTTGGTGGAACTACTACCCCCCCCGCGCGCCGACCTGATGGCCGCGGGGCATTGAAACAGCACGTGTCTGGATTATTAACAGTTTTTAAAGCAAACTTGGCCTGTAAACAGTTGTCCATCCCGGTGTCCCGCGCCAGCTTTGAGCTAAGCCTCTTTGAACTCGGACACTCTCCTACGGTTCTGTGTGCACTCGTCTATCTCCTACCTCGTTCTAAGGACTTCATAAATGAATTCTCTGACTTCTTGGCTGATATCACACAGAGATAACCTCACTTTTTGTTTATTGGTGACTTTAATTTGCATGTGTGTTGTCAGGAGAAGCCCTTAGTGAAGGACTTTCTAGATTTATTGGACTCTTTTAATTTAACTCAGCAGGTAAATGGTCCCACCCAAGAACACGGTCACACGCTAGACCTCGTTTTAACACGCGATGTCTCTGTTTCTAATTTGAAAATCGGTGACAATGTTTTTTCAGATCACATGCCTGTATTGACTTCACCCCCCCTTGTCCTACAGCTAAGACGTGCATTCCTGCACGTACGCGTTCCATTAACCATTTCACTGCTGCTCGTTTTAATGAAGGTTTTAACTCTGAGAGGATCAATCAGCTCTTGGTGTCTCCTACCACTGAGGAGCTAACCTCTCAGTTCAACTCTGCCTGTTTAAATGTTCTGGACTGTGTTGCTCCCCTTAAAACCAGAAAAACGAAACTTAGATCTGAGCCTTGGCCGAATGACGTCACTCGAGCCGTTAGGCAGCAGTGTCGCAGAGCTGAACGAAGGTGGAGGAAGGACAGGCTGCAGGTTTCTTTTCAAATGTTAAGGGAGAGTTGGCGTCACTATCAAAAAACCGTTAAAGCAGCCAAATGTAAATTCTTCTCTGATATGATTGTCTCCAACTCCCACAACCCCTGAGTTCTTTTCTCCACCCTGAACTCAGTTCTACACCTCAGTGAGCCTTCACCTCTGGAAGCCTCAACTGAGCTGTGTGAAAACTTCCTCCATTTCTTTTTAGAAAAAGTTGCAAACACCCGGGCACTCATTTCTCCACCAGCTCATGATCTGTCCATCCCATCTCAGTGTGTGGCTGTGTTTGACCACTTTGAGCCCATCTCTTTGTCTTCTCTGGAGCAGGTAATGTGCAGCATGAAGCCATCTGGTTCCCCCTTTGATGTGGTCCCCCCTCGACTGCTAAAGGAAGTTTTTCCTACCCTGGGTCCTTTTATCCTCGCTATTCTGAATAGCAGTTTATCCTCAGGTGTGGTGCCAAAGACTTTTAAACATGCTGCTGTCCAGCCCCTCCTGAAAAAACCTAACCTTGACCCCTCAGTCATGTCCAACTTTCGGCCTGTCTCCAGACTCCCAGTCACCTCTAAACTACTGGAAAAAATTGTGGAGTCTCAGTTGAAACAGTATTTGGGAGATCACGCTATCCTAGAGTTATACCAATCTGGCTTCAAATCTCTCCATAGCACTGAAACTGCTCTACTGAAGGTTTTTAATGACATTTTCATATCCACAGACGCATGTGATTCTGTGTTGCTTGTCCTATTGGACCTTACATCTGCTTTTGACACCATCGACCACAAGATCCTCATTTCTAGACTGGAGCAGTGGGTGGGCATCACAGGGTCAGCCCTTAAATGGTTTGGGTCCTACCTCTCTGACAGAACTTTCTGTGTCAATATCAAAGATTTTAGTTCGGCATTGACAGCGCTCCAGTGGGGGGTACCGCAGGGGTCCATCCTCGGCCCCCTTCTCTTTTCTTTATACCTGCTGCCACTAGGTGCTATTTTCCGCAAACATAACATACCCTTTCACTTTTACGCCGATGATTGCCAAATTTACATCCTCCTGAGGCACAGAGGCACACGCTCTATTCAGCCTCTTCTTGACTGCCTGGCTGACATCTGGGACTGGATGGCTTTGAACTTCTTAAGCTTCAATGAGAAGAAGTCTGAAGTCATGCTGTTCCATCCCA